ATCTCTATCTCTATCTCTATCTCTATCTCTATCTCTATCTCTATCTCCGTTCATTGCCAGATGAAGGTTCTTTATCAATGGCTTCTCAATCAGCCCCCTATTTCAGCCACATTCAGAGAGTCCGGTTTGGTCGCATGTCCATTCAGTCCCGGTCGAGCTCGATTTGGTGAGCTCCCATTAGAACAGGCACACTGTTTCAGTTGGTGGACCAACCCCTTGCAGTCCAGACTTCCTTGCTCATCTTCTCCCTCCTTCTGCTCTTCAACTGGACCTTGGGAGCTCAGTCTGTTGCTCTGATGAGAGACTTTGTCTTTATCTCCATCTGTCAAGGGATGAAGATTCTATGGTGATATTCGAGATAATCATCAGTGTGTTAGTGGGGCAAGACTAATTCAGGCACCCTCTACTCTGCTGCCTAAGGGCATAGCTGGATATATACACATTAGAGTACTACTCAGCAGTAAAAAACAATGACATCTTGAATTTTGCATGCAAATGGATGGAAATAGAAAACACTATCCTGAATGAGATAACCCAGACCCAAAAAGATGAATATGGTGTGTACTTACTCATTAGTGGACTCTAGCCATAAACAAAAAACATTAAGCCTAGAGAAGCCAAATAACAAGGTGAACCCAATGAAAAACATATAGATTCTCTTGGAAATTGGAAGCAAACAAGATTACTGGGCAAAAGTTGGGAGCATGGGGGTGGGGGTAGAGGTGGGTTTCTACTTGGGGAAGGGCAGAGGGGGAGAGAGAAGGGAGAAGGGAAAGACTGGAGAGAGCTTGAGGGAGTGGGAGGGTGAAGATGGGGGAAGGGCAGATATAGGAGCAGGGAAAAAGTTATCTACATTAAGGGAGTCATTTTAGGGTTGGCAAGAGACTTGTCTGTATTATTTAAAATGCAAAGAAAGAGTGAAACCAAAAAAAAAAACACCCAAAAGATTTCTTTCTTACCACACTCAAAAGGATATAAGAAGAAAGTACATTCTTGGTTTCAATGCAGACACTGGAGTTTCTGGGTTCTCAGGGGGCCCTCAACCACAGTCTCCACACACTCTGCTCTCTTGGTCTTTATCCCAGCTTAGCTCTGTCAATGCGGTGATACTGACATTTTTACCCAAACCAGAAAACGTCCTTAAGTACTGTAGCCAATCAGAACAGAAGTGCACAGGTTCAAAATGCCTGTGAAGTCCCTGAGTGCTCACCTCCTTCAACCTTCAAGGGTTGTGTCCACTCTGCCCTCCTCCAACCTGAGAGCCTTCCTGGGAAGATGGCAGCAGTCCTGATTCTCCTGACCTTTCTTCTTCTGCATGGAAGAGCTGGTGCAGCTGAGTGAACACCGCTGTCGTAGAGATTCCATCCCATAAAACCCCTGTGGAGTCCCTGCTCAGCTCTAGTCAGGAACTTCCTGCACTGAACCAGGAGCTTCCTGAACCTCAGGTCCCAGACCATCCTAGACCTGGAAGCCTGTCACTGGCTAGATCCTCAACAAGGTCTGAAGAAGGGCGGTGTCCTCAGAGGACATGGTGGGCACTAGCTTCTCCCTGCTTTGTGTCACCTGGGGAGTGGATCATCCCCAAAGAGAGTAGTATCAGAGAATGCAAAGTTACTAAAAAGTACATCATTGACCTTACCTGAGCCCAGATCCAGGGCAGCTTTAATGACCAGCCAGCAATGGGGTAAGGCCACCAGCTCAAGAATATCATCATTATTTAGCAACCTCCCCCATCAATTGCTGAAGAAAGAGGCCCAGGGCGACAAATGCCATCATTGCATCTTCCACTAAATTTGCAGTTTTGTTTGGCCTCTCCATTTTTTTCTGCACATTCCTCGCTAGTTCTGTCTATGCAAGCATACAACTCCAATGGCCCCAGGGCCCCGAATCCCATGAGTTCTGAACTACTAGCCCTGCAGCTACATAGAAGTCATTCATTCATTCATGCAGCCAAAAGCATTTATTGAGAACCCAAGATGTGTTGGACACCAGAATAGAATTTTAAAAGATCCACCTGATAGGGGTTGAGGAAAAAGGTGAAAACATGACCCTAATCAGTATACCAGATACTGTATATAGTAACATAGAAGCAAGAAAAGGAGACATAGTAAGCAAGAAAAGAAGAAGGCAATTCACCCAGGACCCCTCAGTGTAGCCTCATGACTGTAGGGCTTGTCCTTCCATGCATTTGTAAAGCAGGGCCTGGAGGACAAGTGCTACCCACCCCTTTTCAGAGCAGGGCCCTGAGCCTTAGGATTCTACAAAGATTATTCTATGTGTAGGAATTCAGTCTACAACATCTTGGGAAACTGCAGATCCCATTGCCTTCACCCTCTTGACCTCAGCTGCTGCTCCCAGACACCCCATCGTCTGCCTTTTCTTTCAGAGGAGATCATTGGGGGCCATGGGGCCAAGTGCCACTCCTGTTCCTACATGGCATTTGTTGAATTTCTGGATGTTAAGGGGAAGAAGATTTGCTGTGGAGGCTTCCTGATGCGAGATAATTTTGTGCTGACAGCTGCTCACTGATCCAAGCTTTCTGAGATCCTAACAGGAGTTTCCATCCTCTACTTGTGGCTGCTCCTGTGAGAGCTCACTAGAGGACAGGGCTGTGACAATGGAAATTCTGAGGTCAACGGGTGAGAGTCCAGAGGCAGCAGCACAGTTGAGTTGAAAGCAGCTACACTGGTCAGACTACAGCAGTGGCTGTGGTTGAAAGTGCACATTAAGAGTAAATGCAAACTTTGGAAAATTGTGGAGAAGCAAGAGGGAGTCTTCAAGAATCTAGTGCCCTTGAGAAGACAAAGCAGTAGTTCACACCCTTAGGCTTTTCTGTCACCTCAAGTCCCCTCAAGCTAGAGCTCCACCCTGCTCACCCAGCCTCTTACAGCTCCTGGACTGTGTCCTCTCTCACCCCTCTCTCACTCCACATCTCCCATCTGCACTCTGCTCTCTGTATAGCACAATGAAAGTCACTCTAGGAGCCCACAACATCAAGATCCAGGAGGAGAGCCAGCAGATCATCCTGGTGGCAAAAGCCATCCCACACCCACGCTTTAATAACGAAACCCTCACAAGTGACATCATGCTCTTAAAGGTGAGAAGAACCCATATCCTGCTCCAGGGATTGCTCTTCCTGCTCTCACCATGCTCCTTTCTTCTCTTCTATCCTGGTGTCTCAGCCCAGCAGTCAATGAGCCACACTCTTCCTTCTTCCCACAGTTGGAGAGGAAGGCTCTAAGGACTGAAGCTGTGAGGCCCCTCAGCCTGCCCTGTTCTGAGGTATGTGAAGGCAGGGATGTGTGCTCCGTGGCAGGTTGGGGAAAGATGGCCCCACATGGTAAATTATCAAATGTACTACAAGAAGTAGAGCTAACAGTCCAGAAGGACCAGGAGTGTGAGTCCTGCTTTCCACGTCGTTACAAGAAAGTCACTGGGATCTGTGTGGTGAACCCAAAGATCAAGTGTGCTTCCTTTAAGGTAAGTTGGATTGTCTTTCTCTCTGGGATGCATCTCTGGGATGCATGGGAGCAGAAGAGGAATTTGGGACCTAGAGACCAAGCATCAGGGACTCCTTTGCCCTCTGCCTGTGATCTTTTTCCCTGGAAACAGCAGGAACCAGTAACTAACTGGGGCCTCAGAGCTGACAACGAGCCTTGGTGAAGACAGTTGGTACAAAGCAGGATTTGCAGAGCCCTCCTGCCACCCAGGCCCAGGCTTTAGAAAGCTATGTTCCCTGTGTGTGTTGTTACCACAAGCAGGGGTCTCCTCAGAGCAGGCACCCACTTTTGTCAATGGTCTGATCCTCCATGCTCACAGAAGCTCAAGCACCTGTCTACAATTCTAAAGAACAGCTTGGAGCTGAGGGTCCCACACACCTTCATAGAAAATGGATCATAGACTTGAAGAAAGAGTAGAGTCTGGGCTCAGGAGGGAGGTGAAGCAGTAACCCTGTCCAAAATGAGAATGGGAAGCCCAGGGACACAAGTAAGCCTCACAATCTCCTACACACAGAGCACACAAGTCATGCTTAATGGTGGGAGGATGGGCTAGTGTGAAGTCAACTTAGTCCCCTGTGCCCCTCTCTATTCACAGGGGGATTCCGGAGGGCCTCTCCTGCGTAATAAAGCGGTTGCAGGCATCGTCTCCTATGGGTTTAAAAATGATTCAGCCCTGAGAGTCTTCACCAGAGTGTCAAGTTTCCTATCCTGGATAGAGGAAACAATGAAATACAATTAACTACAGAGAAAACCAGGCCCCTCTCTGACTCACCATCTTCCCTACAGCTGAGTCCAGGATTGTTCTAGGACAGAAGCCAGCCTCTCAATAAAGGTCTCTTTGCAGAATCAGAAGACTGGTTTCATATCACAGGGACCAACTCTGTGCTAGGTAGGCCAATGGCACACTTCTATTTACTGCTCATTCCTCAACCATGTACACACATTGCCCAAAGCTCAGGCAAGGCCATTGACCAGTTCCTTTTAACTTGTCCCTCTGTGCGGTGCCTGACCTTAAGACTGGCTCAAAGCTGAGCATGGGTTTTTCTTGTCTTGGGGCTCAGGGTGAACTTTTTTCCTCCTCTGTGTCATATAGAAGAAAGGAGAGGGAAAGCACCTTTGGTCCTGGAGCTATGAAGACAGAGCTGAGGCCAGTGTAGATGGAGCTTCCTGTGCAGAGTATTGTTTTCCCACAGCTTCAGCATTAAGGTGAAAACAATTCCAGTATCCCCACTTTCTCATGTAGAACAAGTTTCACTATCCTCTCCTAGAAACAGGGCCAAGTTCCTCCAGCCTCTTAGCTCCACCACTTCTCTTTTATGGCTGATTTGAGACTCTATCAACTTCTATGCTTTATAGTCCATGCTAATCTTTACATGTCCCTACCTCCTATCCCCCTACCTAGGACACCCAAATCCACATGTGGTTCCGTTTATTAGGGCCTCAGACCTGTGTTGCCAGCCTAAATCATGAACTGGCAGGGAGTAGGCTCACAAATATCCAGGCCAGACGTGTCATCATAGAGGTTCCACGGATACCAGTGTAAGTCCCCAAACCCTGCACCCCACCTCCCCCATGCTCAGATCTAGTGATGCTCTTCCCAGTCACTTCATATCCACTGCACCAACCTTCCCATGTTCTCAGCATCCATAGCTGCAGGGTCTCTGAACTTGTTCTTCTCAATCGTTGCCAGCTTCTAGGCTATGGTGCTCTACTGGTCATTTGGTCAATGTCAGTCTTTGACATCCCCAAGGCAAAAGAACTAAAAGTCTCTGCTTTTCCATCACTCAACACTGAAGTGTATGAGGTTTGCAAATGGCCTTAGACAATTAACTTCTATGGGAAACTATTGAGAAAATTAGTATTTCTCCCCAGGAGTTGGCAGTAGGTAGAGAAAAACACAAGTAAGATGGCCTTGTTGCATTTATTTTATAGGTAATAGATACAGAGTCCTTATGTAGATTTAAATCCTAAGAGATGCACATGTTCAGAAACAGAATTCAGAACCAGAATTAAATGTGAGTAGGAGGCTAGGAAATAAAGAAAAATGAAAATATATGGTGTGGAGAAAAACCTGTGATATTTCAACATTTGTGGTTACTGCAGTATCCATAATTTCTAAGACTACCTGGGATTCTCATTTATAGGAAGTTTTGGGAATGAGACTGTAGCCAGAATGTGTGTGTGTGTGTTTTTTTTTGTCATAGCCAGAACCTGGAAGCAACCTGAGTGCCCCTCAATAGAAGAACATATACACATTAGAGTTTTACTCAGCGGTAAAAAACAATGACATCTTGAATTTTGCATGCAAATGGATGGAAATAGAAAACGCTTTACTGAGTGAGGTAACCCAGACCCAAAAAGAGGAATATGGTATGGACTCACTCATAAGTGGATTCTAGCCATAATTAAAGGACTTTGAGCCTATAATTTCTGACCCTAGAGAAGCTAAATAAGAAGATGAACCTAAAGAAAATCACATAGCTGTCCTCCAGGATATTGGAAGTAGACAAGATTGCCAGGCAAAATTTGGGTGCACGGAGGGGGGTGGATGTAAGAGGAAATGGGTAGAGAGAAGAGAGAAGGGGAGGATTCGGAAAAACTTGGGGGAATGGGATGGGTGGGATGGAGGAAGGGTGGATATGGGAACAGGGAAATAAATATCTTAATTAAGGGAGCCATTTTTAGTGTTTTGCAAGAAACTTGATTCTAGAGGGGTTCCCAGGTACAAGGAGATGCCCCCAGATTGTTCTTTGGGCAGCAGAGGAGAGGGTTCCTGAACTGGCCTTGTCCCATAGCCACACTGATCAATATCTTGCATATCACCATAGAACCTTCATCTGGCGATGGGTGGAGTTAGAGACAGAGACCCACATTGGAGCACTGGACTGAGCTCCCAAGGTCCAAATGAGGAGCAGAAGGAGGGAGAACATGAGCAAGGAAGTCAGGACAGCGAGGTGTGCTTCCACCCACTGAGATGGTGGGACTGATCTAATGGGAGCTCACCAAGGCCAGCTGGACTCGGACTGATGGAGCATATGATCAAACCGGAGTCTCTGAATGTGGCTGATGGTGGAGGCTGACTGAGAAGTCAAGGACAATGGCATTGGGCTTTGATAATACTGCATGGACGGGCTTTGTGGGAGCCTTGTCTGTTTGGATGCCCACCTTCCTGGACCTGGGGGTAGTGGGGAGGACCTTGGACTTCCCATAAGGTAGGGAACCCTGACTGCTCTTTGGCCTGGAGAAGGAGGGGGAGTGGGAGTGGGGGAAGTGGAAGGGGAGGGAAGTGGGAGGATGGGAAGAGGGGAGGAGGTGGAAATTTTTAATAAAAAAAGTTTCCCTACATTGAACTCACAATGCTAAAAAAAATTCCAAGCTGCCAGGCACAATTTTTTGTGCCTTAATCAAGCACTTGGGAGGCAGAGGCAGGCAGATCTATGACTCCAAGGTCAGACAAGGCTCTCAAACAAACAAACAAAACGTTCTTAAATTAACTTAAATAAACAGAAAACTCCAAGCAGCCTTGGCTCAGGGTCCTGTTCTGTCAGACGCTTAACAGATATCATGACTGGTAGCTACAGCTTAATGGCTCCCTGTCCCAAATAGACAGAGCATCATGATGAAGTAAAATCTTGCTCTGGATCAGGCAACTTTCAAAGACAAAGTTTTAAATAGGAAGAGATGTAGGTGGCACACAGTTTCTGATAGAGAGTTGGAAAGCAAACCCTGCCCTGAAAACATACTAAGGACCCAGCTCTTTTAGAGCCAACGAACACAAAGAAGAGTGCAGACTCAAAGAAATATGTGTGTTTGAAAACATACGGTCACATATGTATTCAGCTTAGATGTCATATTTAGTTTTAGGATATCATTTTATATCTTAAAATAACTTTGGAAAGCATTGTTGATTATCCATTAGAGAGGAGATAAAACCATTCTCTACAACTGGTAGTAAGTGGCCCAACAAGCAGTGTGAACCATGTTGGTGTGAGGCTGAATTTAGCCTGGGATTCCCTGAAGAATTGACCTTAAGGTCATCTAATCTCCAGTCAGTAACTTGGCGTCATCCCACAAACAGATGAGCCCATTCTCTGACTCTCCCTGGAGAGAACCACCTGGTCTCCTCACACAGATGCATAGTGAAGGAGTTCAAAGCCCCCTTGCTTTGCTCCCTTGAGCACATATTGGAGTAGATTCAAGCAGTAAAGGCCTAAACCCAGAGTGCTTCAGATTCCTCTGCTCCTTGGACGTTTCTCTCAGCCCCAACCATTTGTACAGGGCTCACTCTGCTCCCCTAACTCTCCAAAATCCAAGTTCTCTTGCAATTCAGCAAGCCAGGGAGAAAACTGTAAGACACCCCTGAAGGACACAAAGCAGACAAAAGAACACAAGGTCTTCTGGTTCGTGCTGGGAAATGATGTGGGATTCCTATCTGTATGATGTGGTTACCATTAATGAATAAAGAAAACTGTCTTGACCTGATAGGGTAGAACAGAGTTAGGCAGGGAAAACTAAACTGAAGGCTGGGAGGAAGAAGGCAGAGTCAGGGAGAAGCCATGTAGCTCCCCTCATCCTCCCAACCCTGCTGGAGACAGACAAGGGATGGAATTTTACTTTGTAAGCCACTGCCATGTGCCTAAACACAGTTTAATGGATATGGGTTAAATTAATATGTAAGAGCTAGCCAATAGGAAGCTTGAGTTAATGGGCCAAGTAATGATTTAATTAATACACTTTCTGTGTGATTATTTCAGTTCAGGGTAGCCAGGAAAACAAGTGGTCCCTCTTGCCACAGGGGAATACATGCTGCTATACCTTTATTGTCCTATCCAATGTCATATATCTTCCAGCACCATTTTCTGTGAATTTAGAGAATATAGAGTTTCCGTTTGTATTTTTGTTCCATACCACCTTTCTGTGGTGTTTTTTAGTGAGGATGATCCTAGGCTCATGTATTTGAGTGCCTGGTTCTGAGTTAATGATTCTGTTTGGGGATGTTAGGAAAAATAGCCTTGGTGGAACAAATCCATTGCTGGGGCAGTCTTTGACTCACACCACTACCAATTCTCTCTCTCTCTCTCTCTCTCTCTCTCTCCACTACACTTTGTGTGTGTGTGTGTGTGTGTGTGTGTGTGTGTGTGTGTGTGTAACTATAGTGTATGACATTGAGTATGAAGTTTATAGATGACAACACGTCCAGTTCTGTATAAAATGAATGTATGTGTGCTCTTGCTATTGTTAACCATGCCTGGCTTCAGTGTGATGCTGCCAGTGTTTTATGTTCTAACTGCAGACAGTCAAACTGGCGCCATCATACTTTCATATATTCCTGGTGACTTATTCAATGAAACATAGAGCTTATCCATGATATTTTAATCTATATTACAGAGAGTGGGTGTTTAATGGCATTTGGAAAGCATGTAAGCATTCTTTTTTGATCATTAAGACACACACGCCTCAGCCTTGCCTCACACTCCACCACCCAGTCACGATTCTTACACTAGCTGTCACTTTTGGCTGCATCCACAGCTGTGATGTGGAAATACTCAAGCCTTGATTTCCATTTTCTTTTTTTTTGTTTTTGTTTTTTTTCAATTTCAACATCTTTTATTTTCTCTACACTTTAAAAAGAACATGCCACAAAGAGAAGATAGTTAATATTTTCTTAGCTAGCTCTTTTTAAAATTTATTTAAAGTTTTTTTTCTAAATTCCTACCTGCTTCCCTCCTCCTACTCTCC